ACCTCTGGGGACAGGGCTGGTGCCAGCGTCCCGGTGCTGCCCGCGAGGTTTGGGAGGAACCGAGGGGGGCCGTCGCCAGGGCCCCCCCTTCCCTCCCTTGCCTTTCCCGCTCGCAGGGTAGGAAGAGGCAGTGGCAGCAAAGCGAAAGAAAAAGTCACTTTGCAGCCTTCGTCATCCCCCTGCCAAACTCTGAAATCCAAAGTTCCCCAAAGGGAAGGAGCTTGGGAAGGGGGGAGGAGAGCCTCCAAGGGTCCCACACGGAGGGTGGGAGGGAGCACAACCCTTTGCAGCCAGCAGAGAATGTCCACCGGAGACCACCCTTTGCCTTGCTGGGGTGCTGCCACCCACACGCCCTCAGCAGGAGGGATGGAGAGGAGCCACTCACCCACCCTGTGGCTCCCTTATCCCTTCCCTACAGCGAGGTGGGTAAAGTGGGCTGCCCACGGGTGGCCTGCATGGCCCCCACGGGTGGGACTGAGCCTCTCGTCCCTCCCCATCTCATGTGCTCCAACCGGGTCTTGCCCTCACATCCCACCTAGACGGAGATGGTGCCGCTGCCCCTGTGGAGACGGGACCCCAGCCGGGTGCACCCCCATGTTCCCCTCCATCCCACCCACCCGTGGTGAAGGATGACTTCCAGTTTGTCCTCTGCGAGATCTGCCAGAAGGAATCGACCAACCTCAAGCTCCTCACCTGCCTCCACACCTTCTGCCTCAATTGCCTGAGCGAGAACAAGCCTGTTGCTCAGTGCCCTGTGTGCCGGACAGCCATCCCTCAGATCACCGGCATCCCTGACATGGACAACCTGCTCTTCAGCAGCCTGCAGGCCAGGCTCAGCATCTACAAGAAGATCAGTGACAGCAGTGGCCCGAGCTGCGGCCGGTGCCAGCAGGAAGTGGCAGCAGTGTGGTGCTCCGAGTGTGACGAGTTCCTCTGCACCAAGTGCTTTGAGGACCACCAGTGGTTCTTCAAGAAGAGGAGCCATGAGGCCAGGAGGCTGGAGGAGCTTCGTGCTGAGTCAGCCCATCAGTTCCTGGAAGACACCAGAAAGTCCTGCAGCCTCTTTTGCTCCAATCCTGGTCACGCCAACAAGGACCACATCTCCAGGTGAGAGTGGTGCCTTGTCCACAAGTCCCATCCTGCACCAAGGGCTTTGAGGCTGCTGCTGCAGGACCAGCTCTAACAGGAGGGCAGAGCTAAGGGGGTTTCATCACCTGCCTTTGGAGAGGGACCGCTGCAACCCCAATGAGACCCCCAGTGAGACCCCAGGAGCAGGGTGTGCTATGGGGCTGGCAGGTCCCTGGGAGGAGGGAGGGGAGCAAAGGTGGGTTGAACACCCAGCTCGATGCCCACATCTGCAGCTGGTGATGTGAGGCAAAGCCCTTACCTGCCCTGTGCCTCAGTTTACCCTCTTGTTCAACTCTTCAGCTGTCCCTTGGGGAGGGGGAATCATGCCCAGCACAGTGGAAATGCTTTTCTCCCCCTGCTGACATACCAGCTTTGAACGATGCTCTCATTTCCTTCTAGCATCTACTGCAAGAAGTGCGAGAAGCCACTGTGCTGCTCATGCGCGCTGCTGGACAGCCAGCATGCCCCCTTCTGTGACATCCGCAGTGAGACCCAGCGCAAGCGGGAGGAGCTGGTCACCATGAGCCAGGAACTGAAGCAGAAGAGAAGCAGCTTTGAGGCCAGCTATGTGGCGCTACAGAATGAGGCCCCGGAGCTGGAGCAGGCACAGCAGGAGATGCGGAATCTGATCCGGCAGCGTGTGGAGCAGCTGGTGCGGCGCTGATCCGGGTAGGAAGAGGAGCTGCTGGGACTGGTGGAGACGCGGCAGGAGCAGGGCCGGTGGGAGCTAGCAAGGGAGCTGCAGCACGTGGAAGGGGTGCTGCTGCGGATGGAGGCGAGCGAGCGGCTGGTGGAGAAGATGAGTCTCTACGCCACGGAGCAGGAGGTGATGGACATGCAGCCCTTCATCAAGGACTCCGAGCGCAGCCCGGGGGCTTGACCGAGTGCAGAGCCAAGCTGCAGGCGCTGGTGGAGCGTGTCACGGGGCACCCAGGTGAGGACTTGCCACAGGGATGGATCCAGCCACCCCACAGGCAGCAGGGGACTTGGGCAAGCTCAGAAAGCCATCACCCAGCTCTGGGTCCCGCAGGGTTCAGAGCCACAAAACGAGCAGCAAAACGAGCCCAAATTCACTCTTGTAGGGTGCTTATTTCCACTGGATCCAAGATTTGTTCCTTTGCTTATATGGCCAGAGCCCCTTTTTGATCTCCCACCAATCTGAGAGGCTCTGGTGATGCTGATTTCTGGGTCCCCAGAGGCTCCTAAACCCCTTGGGTCATCCCAAACTGAAGGGCTGGGAAATGGGAAGGAGATCAGAGCTGCCCCTTCCTTGCTGCAGCTGCTGGGCAGGTTTTTCCCAGCTTGGCTGCTCCTGGGGCCAGGTGGGAGCTCCGGAGGCTCCAGTTTGGGATTGCAGCCTTGCTTTCTCCATTACAGCTACCAATTCCCAAGCTATCCCGATGGTCGAGGTGGCCCTGGAGAACGACCTGGTGAGATGTCTGTGTTTCATCCCAGTGCGCTGCTGTGTGGGGAGGGCTCCTGCATCAGCCGAGACATGGATCCCCCCTTCCTCTCACCTTTGCAAGCCTTTCCCAAGGGACTGCCTTCCCCTTCCCAGCCCATGACTCCCATTTCTTTGTTAACAACAAATCCCCAGGGATATTTCTGCCTGGGCAGAGAAAAACGTGCTTTGTAGCCATCGTTTCCTGCTACCCAGGTGTGCTCCTACCCCATCCCGCTTCTCCAAGCCTGCTGCTTCATCCCTCATTTTCAGCAGGGAAAACTGTAGCCTCCCCCAGCTGTAGCACTGCCAAACACCCACAGCTCAGGCACAAGCCTTGAGCCAAGCTGGAGGGCCAGGCTGTACCTTCAGTTTCCCCCCTGCTGAGGATGTTTCTGCCCCCCCCAGCTCTGCCTGCTGCTCGGGGACACCCCAGCCCTGCAGAGGGGTCAGTGCTATCGAGGTTCCCTCTAATGCTGCTCCGCGCTCTCTCCGCAGCAACAGGAGCTGGTCCAGCCCGAGAGCCAGAGCATCCTGCCCACCGTCGCCATCAGCCTCAAGGAAACGCAGACGAGCCCGGTAAGAAACGCCCCAGCCAGGCAGGAGCCCTTGGGGACTAGGAGATGCCACCCTGGCACCTTACATCCCCCATGATCTCCTCTCTCCAGGCTCTCCCCGACGCCACATGGCCCAGGCGGAGGTTCCGCTGCATGGAAAGGGGCAGTCAGGTCTTGCCCAAGCTACTCAAGCTGGAGTGCGACAACGCGGCGGGCCCCAGCAATCCCAGTTCAAACCAATGGGATGGCAGAATGGGGCCCAGCACCTCCACACCGAGTCAGAACTGCAGCAGCATCCCTGCTGCCAGCAGAGATGATACAGGTGGGGACCGGGGATGTGACCCTCCTCGTTACCCCATCTCTTTCCCCCCTTATGGGGGTCCCCCATCTTTCCCAGCCTCTGTGCACCTCAGTGCACTCAGAGCCTTGGCCAAACCTCCCTGGGTCAGAGAGGGTGGGAGCTGGTTCCCAGGGCGTAAATATGAGAGCAGTGCTCAGGGGCAGACACGGATGCTCCATCCAGCTCCATGTCCTGCCTCTGAGGTAGCCAAAATCAAGCCTAGGGAAGAGCATAGCAGCAGGGCAAGCATGCAGAGAGACTCCCCTTTTTTTCCTGAGGCAAAAACCACTACAATTTTTAGCAAAACACATTTTCTTCCCCAAGCTCACCCAGCCCCACTCCAGCCTGCTGCAGCATCCCGCAGTGAGGGGTCCCAGGCTCAGCTCTGCAAACAGGAGGGGGGATGAAATGCATCTTCTGGAGAGGCTGGTGCAGGGTCCATGGGGGTGAAGCAGCAGTGGAGAGGTTGCCCCCACTTGGGGTGAATCTGGGAGCACCCAAGGGCTGGGTGGTTGATGGTCCTGGTAGAAGCGTTTGCCCTCTGCTGCAAAAATCAGGAGATAAGGTCAGTCCTCCCATGGGAAAACTGGTGAGATCCAAAAATCACAGTCTTGAAGCTTCAGCATCCCGCTGTTCCTTCCGCAGAAGACACCAGCATCATCATCTGCAGCTCGGAGGACAGCTCAGAAGACACGGTGGTGAGTGTAACGCCAGACCTCGCTCGCTGAGCCACACCGCAGACAGAAGAGGCAGCTGCACCCCGTCATCTCTGGGGTGCCTTTCCCTTTCCTCAAGCTGTGCTCAGACCCAAGCCTTCTCCCTTCCTAACATCAGCCAGAGACTTGCTTGTGGCTTTCTCTTCACCTTCGGTTGCTCCCAAGCAGAAGGTCATCTGGGCCATATCAAATCTAGTCCTGCTGGGCTAAGACCTTTGCTGGTATCTCCTGGTATTCTGGAGCAGCCAAGGTCTTCTCTCACAGGCCTCTTCCTTTCCGCCTCGCTGTTCTCAGCTTAAAAAAAATTAATTTTCATATAAAAATCAAGTCTGCAAGTTGAATGTAGTATCCATGCTCAGAGAGTTCATCAGTCCTGTGCCTACACAGGCTGAGAAGCTCCTGGGAGCCACCAGAGCAGGTAGGAACCATCTGAACATCCCGAAAGTGACATTTCCAAGCTCCATGCAGTGACATTTCACAGCACTGGTCCTGCAAACTGGTGTGCAAATGTCCCTGACTGAGGTGGTTAGATGAACCAAGGGCATGGGATCTCTGCTGAGATACCCCATCCCCAGCATGAGCAGGGGATCCCTTTGGAAATGGAGGCGAGTGCGGATGATTTGGGATCCGGGGGGGCTGGTTTTCCAGTACTGGCTTGATGAGGGGTTAACAGCCCCATTTTTTTTTTTTATAAATCAGTGCAGAAGCTCTTCTTACTCTTCAATAAAGCTGTTTGTAGATTAAATCCCAGCCCGCTGCTGGCTTCCTTATTAATTTTCTCCTTTGCTGTTTTTCCTTGCTCTCCTGATTCATCTCTAACAGAGGGAAAAAAAGAGTAGTGGGGCTAAAACCCTGTCCCCACTCCCTGCTAGTGCCAAAAAATCCCAAGCCTGGGGCTTTTGGGGATGTTAGAAGCTTGCTGTGAGAAGTCCCTGTGTGAATCAGGTGTCCATTTGTATGATGTGGAGTTAAGGGTGTAGCAGAGGTACAGGCTGGAAAAAGAGAGGTCCCAGGGGTATAAACATCTGGTTTGGGGTCTGGTGCTGGGCGCTAGAAAAGTGCAACCTTGAGAGCTGGGAAAAATTGGTTTAAAGCCTGGAAAGGGGGAAAAAAATAGCAGCTGAGTGAGAAAAAAGGCTGAGCAATGGGATGAGGCAGCGGGATGCAGCCCAGGGAAGCTGCAGCCTTCAGGGAGTGGAGGGCAAGGGCTGAGGACCTGCCTAGAGGCTCAGACATCTAAAAGGAGATTTGGGGTCTGGGGAGGAATCTCTGCAGGGTTACCTGGGGACTGTCATGCTCTTCACGCCAAGCTGAAGCTGCAAGACCGTCACCAGCGCCCGGCTCTGCCTGGATCCAGCACCCACAGCCACCGCGGTGGTACGAGTGTATGTGTCTCTATATGGGTGATTTTCCTCCTCACAAATTCCACGTGTTTTCCCTCTCTGCTTAATCCTTACATAAAAAATTTCTTTTTAGAAAAGTTTTTTTTCTGAATTTTAGAAATTCAATTTGCTTGTTGCTGGTTTGGGTAACAAGAGCATCTGCGATCACATTTTGCTGCCGAGTTTGGTTCATCTAACTCCCTTCAGCTGGGTCAGCTGGGTCACTCCCGGGCACAGTCAGGTGAAGGGGACACAGGGCACTGTCACCACCCAGCCACCATCCTTCTCCTGTCCCTTCCCAGACAGAGCAACCCCATATGCCCTTCAAACACCAAATTTTAACCTGGCATTTAAGCAATCCCATGTCCCCTGAGCTGGAGAGTGCTTGGATTTGCTCACATGCCTGCAGACATTGGTCCAGCCACGTTTCCACCACTCTTGGTCTGCAGGTGAAGGTGCAGAGAGCTGGTGCGGGGGGGAGATGGACACCCCATCACTGCAGGATGCCCAGGCCAGGGGTGCAGGATTGTCCTTGGGGGAAAGAGAGAGGAAAACCAAGGTTGGAGCCTCTTGAATGCATTGCTGTCCTACTCTTCCTGTAAGGAGAATTCCCTGTGGATGTCCATCCCTGCCGAGGCTGAGCAGGGGATGGTTGGTGTGGCTGCTTTTACTTACACTTGGGAAGCACTGCTGTAGGCACTGGATCTGCTGAGCCTGGAGAGGCATCAAACCTCCTCCTGGCCTGATTCAGCCCCCTTTTCCTCTAGACACCAACCAGATCTTTAAGTGTAGTGGTATCTCATGTGGTGAGGTTGCTCAGCCACGTTTATGTCCCTGCGTGAGCTACATCCACATGAGATGTGCAGAAAGGGACAACAAGTCCCCGGACCTGTGTGTTGTGTCCCTCTGGCCACTGCTTGGATCCCACTCCCTGCTTAGGACAAACTGCATTCAGGGCTCTGCTCTTCCTCACTTGGCCCAGACCCTGGTTTTGGGCTCTCAGCAGGGCTCCGCATAGCCAGCCCGCTCCTGAGATACAACACACACCCAGCCCATCCCTGGCAGTGCTGGGACATCAGCCCCCGTGGGTTTCATGGCATTGCACACAACCAGGTCCTTGCCCATGGCCAATGGTGCATGCAAGGGTGCTCCTCATGCCTTCCCAGCCAGGTCCAAGCAGGCAGACAGGACTCGGCCTCCTTCTCCAATCTCTTGCAGGCTTTCAGCAGGCCCAAGGACATCAAGAAGCCCTCCAGCCCCACATGGTCCAGGAGCAGCACCTCACCCCACCACAACACTGGCCCCACCAGCTCCTGGGATGATGGGTTGGAGCTGAGCACCTTGGTGTTCCTCAGCTTGAAGGTTGACCAGAAAAGTGAGCGTTGCCTTTCCCAGGCATGGGGAGCTGGGGGGGCAGAGAGGGGCACCCCCAAATACTTACTCCAGCCCCATCCTTTCCTCTCCTCAGCCCAGTGCATCACGGAGGTGGCGGCGGCCAATGGAGAACACACCTTCAAGACACTGATTCAGACGCCCGAGTCGGTGCTGGCGCTGCTCTCCCAGGGCGTCCCCATGGAGGTGGGGATGCAGCACCTCCTCTGGTACCTCTCCCCTCTCCCCAGGCCCATCCTCATCATATATAACTTCTGGGCACCAGAGCTGCCCGCTCTCTTTAAAGCCCTGGATGCCACAGGCAGGAAAGTGGACTTCTGCCACATTGTGGGTGGTTACGTGGATATGTTGTCCTTGATCAAAGAAAAGCTGCCCAAGGCCCCTTCCTACAAGCTGAAGAACCTGCTGAGAATGCACCTGAAGCGGCAGCTCAATGAGAGCAGCACACTGGCCACGGCTAAGGCCTTGCAGGAGCTCTGGGGAACCCTGGAGCTCCCTGCCTGCGCCGACGCGGGGATGATGCTCACCCACTGCAACCTGCAGAGCTACACCGTCCTGTGGCCCCTGGTGCAGGAGAAGCTGCTCACCAGGAGAGCAGCCAAGATCCTGGCCCGGCGCAACCTCATCCTCTGGGAGCTGGAAGAGGCGTGAGCGCAACCATGGGGTGAGCTGAGCTGGCCAGGTCTCAGGCTAACCATGCCAGGGATGCTCGCCAGGGATGCAGGGGTGCTCTAGCAGCATCAAAGAGGACTCGCAGACCTCTGCTCCCAGCACGGGGCTTAAAAGGTTCAGGACCCGGGGCCAGCTCTAGGGGAAAGAAACCACCCCATCAAATTAATATTTTTATAAAATAAATTGCACAGTGCAGCCCAGCGTAATTTATTGGGGCATCTCCACCCCTCCTTTTCCCAGCCAGGCGGGAGGGGAGATACTCGGAGCACTGTTCGCCCTGCCCGGGCAGCAGGAGGTACCTCGCCCGCCTCCAAACCAGAAGTTGCCAGCGGTGTCCCCAGCCGGGGCTGTGTGCGACAAGGCAGTGCGGGACACGCACCGCCAGGTGTCCTCTTCGTACAGCCGCACAGGGCCGGGCGTGCGAGGGCTGGCTCCCGTGCTTGTGCACGCACACTCACGCCCACTTGTGGACACGCACGCCCACGCGTCTCACACGCTTCCCTGGGACCCACCGGTGGGGCCTCCTGTACCTGGGAGGTACTGGGGCCATCACCCGGGCGTCTGGTCTGCTGTATTGGGCACAAAGGGAGAGGGGTGGGAGGGATGAAGAGGTCCTCTGGGTGGCTCGAGGTGGGTGAAGACAGGTAGGAGAGGGATACAGTGAAGGTCTCCTCTCTGAAAGGGTGCGGTGGGAGCTGCCAGGCTTGGAAAACTGGGGGCAGACGACGAGGAAATGTGGCCCCCATCTTCTGGGAGCGCCCCGGGAACAAGCAGTGGCCCGGACACAGCTGTGAACTATTGGAGCAGGGTCTCAGCCAGCAAGGCAGGGGTAGGCAAGGGGCTGCCTTCCCCCCTGCCTGTCCTGCCTGCTGCCTTGCCTGGGTCAGGGAAGAACCAGGACAGATCCAGCCCCATACAGCAGTTTATAGGGAGCAATACCAAAGGAGCCCCCATGACTGCACGGTGGCACACGGGGCTTGTCACCAAATTCAGACGACACCATCTCACCCTGAGGATTCTCTGGTGTACGATACCACGTTTTGCACGGGGAGCAGGCTCTACAAGGGGCACAGCCGGCGCAGAGCAGACCCCATCTGTCTGCTGTCACCAGCCTCATCAAAGTCTTGTAAAACAATAACGAAGTCAATGGGCTGAGGGAGCCAGATTAGCTGTTTCTTTGCCCTGAGCTGCCGTAAAGCTCACTCATCTGGCTAGAAAAGGGTTTGTCACTGCAGGGTGAGGAGAGCAGCACCCAAAAAGCCCCAGCCCTGGAGGAAAGGGCTGCAGCTGGGGTACGCCTGCAGGGTGAGGGCTCCCCAAAGGTCCCACCAGCTTCCACCTCCAACAGGCAGCTTCTACACACTGGCAGGCTGGTACAGCCCCTGTTGGACCTCCCTTCCACCTACAGCCACCCCATGAAAATCCCCCTCCAAGCCAGAGGTATAAGGAAGAATCGGAGTCTCTCTGGGTTTTTTTTCGAGCAATAAATAACTTTACTGAATTAAGCGAATCTCCTGGAAAGATATATAATATGCTGCTTGCTTGATTGGCTGTTATTAATAATGCATTGCTCAATCTAAACCATTCATAAAATGACTCCCTGCTAGCCCTGAGCAAAGTGCTTTGGGATTCAGGGGAGGGGAAAAAAAAAAAAGGCAAGAAGGAGCAGCATAAATCCTTTCTGTTTATGAAAATGGATTTCTTCCCCCAACAATCATGCAAAACTAATTAGAGCCAAAGGGACGGTTCCTCTGCATTTGATCACACCCTGTGAGATTGCTCAGGTTGGCTGGCGGGGGTGGGTGGAAGTCCAAGGCTGAGGAGGATCCACCCCAATGAGCCAGAGAAAGGTTACCTGGATTATATTTCTTATAAAAACATCAGCCTGCTAACATCCAAACAGGTTTGCATCCCATGGACCATCAAGAACAAGGACAGGGTGGTCAGGACTCTTAAATATTTGGAGAACTGGTGAGGCAAAGCTGAGGGAAGCCTTGTCTAGATGAAAGAAGAAGCCACATCATCTCTGGCCAGCCAGGTCCTGCAGCCAGGATACTCCCAGGGTGGTGGCTTGATGCACTCACCTGAACTTGGAGGAGCTGGCTTGGGGCTAGAGACTAGAGAAGCTAGGAGAGCCCAAACTGGGGGCTTGGCCTTCTCCTCCTTAAACAGACAATGCCCCTGACCAGCATGGTGTAGAGGGCTCCTCCCTCAGACACCACCTGGAGATTAATGGTGTAAATCAGCAAACCCTCATTGACCACAGTGGTGATCCAGTGATTCCTCCAGCTGGGAGGCTGCCTTCATTTATACCAGTGGGAGATGTGTCCCCAGAGCTGTGATGGTCAACACCAGCTGTGGACCTGGCCCCCAGCCCAGCTTCTACTTGTCACATGTTTAGGAGCAGACTGAGATTTAGGGTGCCTGGAGCTGAGGCAGGTGTGGTGTGAGAAGGAGAGGTTGACAGCCCCAGAGCCTGCTCTTCCATCCACCCACCCACCCACCCATCCATCCATCTATCCACCCATCCATCCATCTATCCACCCATCCATCTGTCTATCCACGCCTCCATCCTCCACTGTCCTCTCTTGGAGCTCACATCTGAGGGGACTGAAAAGCCACCACAGAGCACTGTTGTTATTCCCTGCGCTCAGGCCATGAGAAACTGAGGCACAAGTGGTGACACAAACCCCACACATCATGTCCGCTGGGGAGGCATGAATGGGGAGGTGGATGGATGATGTAACCCATGCCATGCAGCTTCATGCTACGATGACCTCCAGAGTGTGTAGGTTGGGGTCTGGCCCCCAGGCGCAGGACGAGGGACAGGTTATCCATCCCGTCGCACGTGCCTCATCCCCTGACCCATTTCTAGCACAACACGCTGCCTCCAATGCTCCTGAAATGCTGCCACTGTATCTAGGACACTTGGGTTTCTTCCTCTTGCATGATGAATGAAGGCATCTTGGGAAGAGCTCAGTATAGTGTGGTGGATAGCAGCCAAGCCAGAAATCAAGCATCTTCTCCGTGTTGGCCACATCCTTGTGGCATTTTAACCTACTTTCATGCTCCTCAAAGCAACTTTGCAGTCTTGCAACGCTGTGTCTCCCACCTGAGCTCTGCAGCCCAAGTCCCAGCCACAGGTCAATACCATCAAGGGCTGACCCATGGTCCCGCAGCCCCACGGCAGCATGGAGAGCTTGGGACGTGCAATAATCTGACACGCAGCAGCGAGGGGTGAGGAGCAGTGGAGCAGTGTGGGTACACATCTGGCCTGCTTGGAGATGCTGAGCCCCCAAGTGCTTTCCTGTTAACAACAAGACTCCCTGCTGTGGGGCTTGGGAGACGCTGACAGCCTGTGGGCATTCAGAGAGTGAGCAGAACAGGGGAAAAAAAATGCCTATAAACCACAAATCCAAATGTCTGATGCTGTAATTCCCTGAGCTGCAAATTGCTAGTGCTTGGGAGAGTGTCACGGTAAGGGTGAGGGCATGCTTGGGCGCCCAGCCAGCCGCGGGGATGGGAAGGGAGTGAGTCATGGCTCAGCCCCAAAGATGGTGAGAGCACCATGGCAGTTCAAACTCCGCTCCAGTGGGAAGGGAGACATGGAAGCGCTGGCCTGCAGATGTCTGCGCTGGATTTGAAGTGATGCTTCCCTCCTGCTTGACCCCTCTGCAGAACCCTGTAAGCCCCCAAAGCGAGGTGGCCTTGTCCATCTGCTTGGGACAGTCCCCTGGACCATGTCCAGGGCTTTTTGGGGGGATGTCAGTTGGGCTGGGCCAAAACTGTGCCGGGGAGCGTGGTGATAGTCGCAGTGTACGTGGCCATGGGGCGACACTCGGACAGTGTTGGTTCACTTGCATGGGAACAAGGTGGTTTTGGTGGCCACACATCACCCAAGCTCCTCACCCACCCCGTGGGTCCTGCCAGCCCTCAGATTGCAGGGCTGAAGGGAAACTGAGGCACGTCTGAGGCCAACCGCTTTGGCCGATGTGGTCCGCGGGCACCAGGCATCTGGCTGGGGGGCTTTGGACGCGGCTCCTGAGAGAGTGGAGGTGCCTGGAGCCGGCACGGAGGATCAGACCTGGCATTTTGCTGTCAAGCAGCTTCCCCTCTCTGCCCCTCCAGCCGCTCCCCCCCTCCGGCTCCTCGTCCTTGGGAGAACACGCCCATCCCCGTGGCCTCGGGGCGGGGATGCAGAGCCGGGCTCCCCCTCGAGGGAGAGGTGACCGGGCTTTTTACTCTGCCTGCGAGCAAGCAGGGAGGAGGCGAGACACACACACCCCGGATCCCCAAAGGGGGGGGGGGGGGGGGGGGGGGGGGGGGGGGGGGGGGGGGGGGGGGGGGGGGGGGG